ATGTGTTAAGGACTTGAAATCATGGCAACATCCTTTCCCATAAGGGTTTACGGTAGTAAACCCAAAGGAAAATGCCCTTAGTCCGTAAACTCCTCAAAGAGGGTGTTTTGTGGCCCTAGTCCATTCCAAAGGCTAAACCACCTAGTAGGATTGCTTCAAAGGACTTATTAAACCTCCAAACAACACATGGTTGCAAGGAGTGGAGTTTAGACCGTAAACCCTTGAGTTTACTACCGTAAACTCCTAGGGTAAAGGTCATTTAGACCGTAAACTCCCAAGGAGTTTACCCTTGGACCCCAAACACGCTAGTTTTGCCCTACTAACACTCGGATGCAATCCTTGTGAACTTTAACACTTGAAACAAAGTATTTTCAAGTTCTAGGGTGTCCTAACTTATTTTATTAGTTATAATAAGGCTAATTATTTATATATATATGTTCATTATATGATAACTAGGCTCATGCGCATGTACAAGTCTTCATTTGTCACCTAGCACCGTAACTGACACTTCAATCCAATCCACTCACCACAAGTGAGTTCATACCCCTTAATCAATGTTTTAAATGATTTTAAATGCTTTAATGGGGGGGGGGGGGGAATACAAGTAGAAAACAATATGTTATTAAATCAATCTTATGTATTTTATAACTGTGTTTTCACTCAGTAGATTTCATATACTTCAAAAGGTGACACATAAAATGGTTTTCTATCTTAAAATACCTTGATAACAAAAGTATTAGTTTTGAAATGTTTATTAAAATAAAATGACATCAAGTCACTCTTAATTATTGTTCAAAACTCCTAGATATCTTGCAAAACCATTATTTTTACCTTCTTGAACAAAACTACACTTATACGCATATGTTCTTATATATGTATTGATGTTATAGTTTCCATCCTTCGTTCTGTTTCCCACAGCCTGGTGTATCAAGGGTGTGTAAATCTACTTGAACAACCAATTACTTTCCAGTTAATTATCATAGGGATAGTTAGAAGAAACAAAACATTATTCCTATTACAAGGAATCACACAAGAGTCAGTTCATTCATGAGTCTTTACGAGTACATTACCTGATACATGAGTACCTTTACATATGCTTACATGATACATGAATACGCTTACATGAACACATTACCTGAATACCTTTACGTAGATACATTTACCTGTGTATACTTACATGAATACTTAAAACTCGATTCGTAAAGATGATTTATTAGTACCTTCAGTAAATCATCCAGCACATCCCAAATCAACGGGAGTCAGTTACGGGATTAACCATTCCTGGAACCATTGTTCGCTACAGAGGTTAATGGACATCTACGGATGCCTAAGGTTATTACTTATATTAGGAGTCAGTTACGGGATTAACCATTCCTGGAACCTACTGTTCGCTACAGAGGTTAATTAGACAATCTTCGGATTTTCATTAGGTTATCTATTTCGCTTACAGCGATGTAGAGTCAGTTACGGGACTAACCATTCCCGGAACCACTGTTCGCTACAGGGGTTAATTGGACAATCTTCGGATGTTCATTAGGTTATACCTTTCACTTCGGAGATGTCGTGTTAGTCTTGGTAATCCAGGGATAATACTTACATGATTGTACTTTTTCCTGTTTACTTTATTTTGTGATAATTTCACATAAACGAGGAGTTAGACTAAGTACTCTAGTACTAGTGAATAGAAATGAAAAACTATCATCTTACTTACAGAACATTATGGTCTTGGTAGAAGACTATCATATACTTTTTCCTGTTTACTTTATTTTGTGATACATTCACATAAACGAGGGGTTAGACTAAGTACTCTAGTACTAGTCAATAGAAACGAAAAACTATCATTTTACTTACAGAACATTCGGGTCTTGGTAGAAGACTACATTTCATACTTGTAGGAAATAAGGGATTTTCTAGGATTTTCAAACTTATATCAATTGTTACATTTAAAGATTTGCCAGACAATGATGATAGTTTTCCAAACAAGACAATGACACTTAAATACTTATGAATTCACCAACTTTAGGTTGATTCTCTCTTTCAAAATAACTTGTATTCTCAGGTCACCAATTAGATAGGTACGATGTCTAGGCCTTGAGAGTTGACCTCATATGCACCGTGTACGTAGGGGCATACTTCGTGGTTGACTGAGGATCAGAGAGTTGACCTCATATGCACCGTGCACGCCTTGGTATGCCCAACGTACACGGATGCTCAACACCCTTTTATTAAGTGCTTAATGTTTTAGCACTTACGTATAAATTTTAGATTTAGGCAACAAAATATGTTCTTAACCATAAAGCTTCCAAATTTATGGTTTAGCATGACTATTAAGAACTTAACTCCATAAACCCTAGCCTCTTAACCCATTATGACCATCTAACACTTGCATGGATAGAAACTAGTGACCAAAAACCCAACTTTATGACTTATGTAACACCTGATTCCCGATACGCATTTAATTTAAGCATTTCTGTATATCCTTTAGGACTCGACGAGTTGGTGGCCCTACTCATTGAGTAGGGCTGCGATCCGCAGGCATTTTAAGTGACCTACTCGACGAGTCGGGAGACTGACTCGGCGAGTAGGAGCTGTTTGAAGGAAACCTGAAATCTGAGGGTTTGCACCCTATTTAAACGTCTTATTGTAACCTCCATTGTCCCTTATGCTCCCAGCACACTTCTTATCGAAACCCTAGCTGCTTTGAGTGATCTAAGGCAATTTTTGGTGCTTTTGGGTGCTTGTGAAGCTTGGAAGGAAGGAGGAAGCTTGGGAATTCGATTTGGGGCTTGTAGATCCAGAGATCTTATTCCATTTTCAGCTCAATCAAGGTAAATGCCCCCTATTTTGGTCTCTCTTGTGGTTGTTCATCTTTAGGGCTTAGATTTTAGGTGCATTTAGGGCTTTCTCAGCCATTTTCGGATTTGCAGTGGGATTCATGGAGTTCTACTTTCAGATATGAGTCATTGGAGGGGTCTTATCGCATAAAGGTGCCAACTTTATAGCCATAAGATCCCCATGCACATTGTACAACACCTTTTATGGATTTTTGAGCCAAGACCCCATGCATGTGCACCAAGTTTGGAACTTTACGTATAAAATGGACATTAGGAGGCCAGATCTATGGTTTTGAGGTGTTAAAACCCATTTAAATCGACCGTATAGTATTGGGCAAGGATGGACTTGCTGAGTTGTTCTTGGGACTTGGCGAGTCGAGGCGTAATGACCACCGAATCCATTCTACGAATGGACCAGATGTTAGGGAGGGGAGTCCCATAGATGTTAGACACGAAAAAGGACCTAAGAACCATAGGACTCGACGAGCGTATGAACATAGTCGACAAATCCAAGGCAATCTCCTAGCATCTGAAGATGAACTCGACGAGTTGCTCTTACAACACGACGAGTCTAGGACAGGGCCGGTTCATAGGATGAGGATCAACTCGGCGAGTTGTTCATACAACTCGGCGAGTCGGATGAAGGATCCTTCGATGATTTATATAGAAGGAGAACTTGTTGAGTCATTGCTAAACTCGATGAGTAGAGACGTGGATGAGGACATTTAAAGGGATAGGGACTCAACGAGTTGGTGGCCCAACTCGACGAGTCAGGTCAATTGGAAGTTGACTTTGACTTGGTCTTTGACTTGGACTTGGTTAGGGGTAAAATGTTCATTTTACCCTAAGAATAGATATCAGACTCTGATTAAGTGTTTTGTGGGGATTATAGCCAGAGGATTTCTGAAGCAGCAGCAGAGATAGATTTCCCGCGCAAATTATCAGCATCTACTCATTCGAGGTGAGTTACCATCTAGTAGGGGTAGCTCTAAGGCCACAATGTCGACCCATCAACAAGGGTATTTAGTAGATAATTGTCTTTGTGATAATTATGTTGGTATGGTTATGTGCTTTGGTCATGAGATACGCCTGTGTGATATGTTATGTTTGTTAATGGTAGTGGTAGGGATTAGTCTTTCCCTAACATTAGTCTTTAGGACCGGGGGGTAAGTCAGTACCCAGTTATGTCTGATTATATGATTATATCTTGTTATTGTATGATAGTGGTAGGGGGAATAGTCCCCAATTACCGTTTGAAAGATACCAATGGTAGTTACCAGTTGAAAGATACCGATGATGAATACCTGTTGAAAGACACCGATGACAGTTACCGGTTAAAAGATACCGATAATTTATATGGTATAATGGGGGAACTCACTAAGCTTTGTGCTTACAGTTTCAGTTTTGGTTTCAGGTAGCTTTTCGTCTAAGGGGAAGGAGCCGACGGTGTAGCAGCGCATCACACATTCATTCATGATTTCTGCAATGAGCTTCTGGGATGGTACTCTGATTTCCATCACTTATGATGTTGTGATTTTGAGACCCGACATTTTGGTTTAAACCTGATGTAATATTGACAATGTTTTGGTAACATATTTTATGATTTACTTAATTTAAAAATGAAATTTTTTGCCTCAAATTTTGGGATGTTACAACTTAAAACCTCCAAAACCTCCGAAAGGACAACTCAAACGCCTTGTAGTACCTACTACTCACAAAGGCCAAGGTTGGGACCAAAAGTGAACTATTTTGAGTTAAAACTAATCGATAAAATTTCTACATCAAGGTTGTAGCTTTTTTACTCCATAAGGTGCACAAAGGGGACAAGATGCTGGATCCAAAGCCTTGAGTGAAACACCACCACCTTAATGCTCTTCCTTTTACTCCAAAAGCTCAAAATGTCACAAAAAATGGCTCAAAAAGCTTCACAATGCACAAACAATCTGTATGGTTTCAAAATGAGGAAGGAGACTGAAGATAAGAAGGTCCATGTGACCATAAATGTGTTTAAATAGGGCTCAAACCGTAAAAATTAGGGTTTGCACCATGGTTGCGTACGCCCGACGTACCAACATATGCGTAACGTATTAATGCGATCTAGAGTACGCCCTATGTTTGAAGGTGTACGCGACGCGTACTCCAGTTGACTCTAAAATTACAAAATTGCTATCGAGGACTAAACTTGTAAATAAAGCATAAATCAAGGGTTAAAACAAATATATGAATGATAGATGATAGAACATCTCTAAGGTTATCAATTTCATCTTCATTTTCACCACCATCAATACATGAATCATCACTATATTCTTCTTCTATGTCAGAACCAAACCAATCCTCTATTCCTTGACTATCATGGTTCACATAGAGGGAAATTATACCATGAGTCCCATAAGCATAAAAAATGAAGCCAACATAGTCTCCTTCATTAGCAATAACAGTAAGCCCAACTAATAAGGGCATATCTGGCTCATAGTAACATAACTTCTTTATACTTTCTTGCCTGAAGTGTTCGACAATGGTGATACACTCAGAGTATGTCATTCTAGAAAAATTGTGCTCATTGAATTGAATTTGATACCATGGTTATATGAGAATGGATTTTGAAGAAAACACCTTTGAAGTTGAGCTCCACTACATGATACAGTCCATCAGGGTTTGGCCTCGATGTTGGTATTCTCGGTTGGTTTGTTGGTCACTAACTTCGATCGGAAAAAACAAGTCCAAACCTTAGTTTTTTTCATTCTTGGTCATTAAGAGTTGAGACAGAAGGAAGAACAAGTTGAGCGTAGTGGTGTGTGATTTAAAGTGATTATGTTGACTTCATTTTCTTACGTGTAGTTAATAAGGTAAATATCCAATCTAATGTAATGCAACATAAGGTATACAACCGATTGTTCCGTTTATCGGGTGTATAATTATGTAATTAGTCGGTATTTCATAACATTAAGGTCTAATTAAGCAAAAAAAAATAAATATTTGAGTAACTAAATGTATAAATTCACCAAACTTTGTTTTGTTATAGTGCCAAAACACCTTCTTTATTCCATGATTTTATGATTATCGACACACAAAAAGTTTTCATGCATGGCGTTTTTGTATTTATCCAGGTGATAAAATTACTTACAATATAGATATAATCTAAACGTTGATCTGATGTCAATTCATCATTTGTTATGCTTTATGATATTAGAAGTTAAATATGGGTTTATATATTAAGTTTAAATTTATCATTATGTTTACTCTATATTACTTGTGAACCATAAGCAGTTTTAACTTTTAACCTTTTTAGTTAGGTTTGCCCTTTTGATCCCGATTTGATCATATGAACTGATCATCATATAACGAGGATCTTTCAAAGTGGAAACAATCCTAAATGTGATCATGATATTGGCAACTTTGTTTTAATTAATACACACCCTACACACTCGGTACATCCCAATTTCCAGGGTGTCACATACACCATCAAGGAAAGTAATGTAATACATGGAAGAAATGAGAAACATTTTCTTAGAGGATATTATTCTATATCATAAGGTGCATGGTTGATAGGTTAGGTTAATCTATCTAACCGTTATCCGTCCGAATATATTTTTAGAGCTTGCATTCACATTCGGATCTCCACCTAAGTGCGGTCAAATGCATTAATCGCTACATATTTGGACACCTAATTGTGGCATATTCCTTCATATAATATCAATATCATGACTACAACTATAATCCTATAGTCATGCTTGTATAGGAGGAACATATTTATCATAATCGCACAAAACACAAGTGGGCTGTGATCATCGAGTAATCAACTTTCCACGTCTATTATATCTTCCCCAAATTCATGGCATGTCAAAACTATCTTTTTCGTGTGGGCAAAATGATACTTCAATTTACAAGCATCAATATGAGGAGAGATTTGATGGACTTGATGTTGCAAATCAGCGTGCTTTTATTTTATGTAGCGGATTAAATCGATAAAATATTTTATGCTTTTATTTTCATCTATTTTATGCTTTTATTTTCATCATCTACAAATATTGGAACTCTTATATTAGGATATACATATAAGGTTTACTAGTTTTATAGGGTATAAATATGTAAATTTAGGTTATCATTTTACTTGTAAATGAGTATATAATGAGAACTCTTTTAAAAAAAGATATATTTTTCACGAAAAGTCTCAAATTTTGTCATCCTCTTCATTGCCCACCACCCACGTATTATGATGGTTGATCATGGCGGCGGCCCATTGGCATATCTATTTTGTTCATTAGAGTTATTAGTTACTTAATATAAAGTCTGAACAAAGTTTCTCGTGAATTGAAAAAATAACAACATATTTTCATCACATTAACAAACAAACTTCAGTTTAACCGAGCTTTGAAAGAACATCATTAAGACTAGATATAGCTGCAGCGTAACTCTTCTCTGCATCAGCCGGGCTTTTGATCTTTGCTGCGTAGTCCAACTAATCCAAAAAACATACAAAAACAACATCAAAATACAAGCAATTTGACCAAATTACCCTTATACACTACTAGCATTAGAATGTAATTATAATTCACTTTCTTTCTTTCATCGAAAATCTCCAGTTTACCCTACGATTTTGAAATTTTAAAGGTGGGTTTTACGCATAAATGACACGTTTGTTTAAGATGTTTTTGCTTTATTTTTAAAAGAAATATATGGGCGTTTTGGACATTTTAACTAGTTTTGGAAAACTTACATCAGCCATGTTCTGGAAAAGCTTTCCGGTGAGATCTTTGAGTGCCTTCTTTTCATCCTTTGGTTTTGCGGAGATGATCGTCTTGAGGTCATAACGAAGATACTCCGACTTCAAACGAAGATCGTTTTGGACATATGGCCATGCCTTTTTGTCGATGAACTCCTTGACATTTACAATTTCTTTCGCCGATTCCTTTACACGAGCTGTGGCCTCAGTTGGTGATAATGGCTGGATGAAAAACCGGTTCTTCAATGGTAGATCAAAGTCTCTTGCCTCATCGGAGTTAAGAGTACCAGCTGCAATCACACATAAAGATTCATTAAAATTATAAAACTTAAAGCTTATAAGAAGAGGTTTCCGGAGACTTACGGAGTCCACCGGAAGGTGGTGGAGGTGGGCCTAACTTGATCGGTTTAGCATCAGCAAGAACCGCCTGAACAAAAGAACCGGAAGCAAGACCAGTGGCAATGAGTCCCAACACAGCTCTTCTGCTTGTTTCGGATTCACCTTGTCCTTGTTGGGCTCTAACTACGAGTCCAGACCGGGAAACAGAAATCCGGTTGTTCCCAACCGGTGTCAAACGGGTGGAGCCGTTGAGCTGGAGGCTGCCTTCCAAGACAGCTAGAGAGGAACCACTTAGTCCTGCCATTGATGTTGTTCTTCTGTTTTGTTACTTGTGTTTTAGTGTGCAATTTTAAATGAAATAGAGAAAATAATATGTGATGGGATCAACACCTTATCTTTGAAATGCTTTATTCTGGATAACTTGGATATGTTTTTCGGCCAATGGGTGTTTGAGTTTTCGACAGGTTGGATGAGGTCTTATAGCATCCATTTGGATTTTGACACGTAAGTTTGAAATAAAATAGGTCACGTGACGGGAATCCATAATAACTTATTCTAAAATTATATTGACATAACAAAGGAAAAAATTTACATAATTGTGTAAGTGCAATAGGCACATATAGTCGTACTTTAAGAAAATACACAAACTCAGTCCTTGTGCTTTCTCGATATTATATGAAATACATTTTTATCTTTTTCTTCTTCATATTTTTCATATTTTATTACTACTTTTATATAACTTATCCTAACACCCTAAAAAGAAATCATCCCTCTTTGAAGATCTATTGTTGGAGTGTGGGAATCCATTAATCGTTCCCTTTAAGGATTTGAGATAAAATATGTTTACAAATAAAAAAAAAAAAAAAGTTCTAAATCACACTTTCATCTTTAGTTCTTTAGTTCATGTGTCGAGTTTTATGAGGACCGCCACCAAATCTATTTCATCCACCATCTTCACATGTGTCGCCACCAGAAAAGCCACTACTTGACCTTTGAATTTTCAAATACCAGAGCCTTGACGCATTTTTGAATCATTGTCGATACATCTACTCAATTAAGGCTAGATGACTAAAGTATAATGCTAATAACTATTATAAAAAAAATCCTCGAATAGGATAATTATTCATCATACGAGTTACGAGCGATAAATAGATGTTTTTTGATAGAATATTATTTAGGATAAATAATCTTGATGATAATTGTAGTAGTTGTAAAAGCGAGAGTGTGCATATAAAGAACACCTAAATCTGACTTTGTATGAGGAAGTTATGATTTTTTGAAGTCTCAGTACAGTAGTGTTCGACACAGAAATTGAAATATAAATTGGTTGAGTGTTAGCCAAAACAACCTAAATGAGAATTGAAGATCTAGTTTATACCAACCGGTTGATATAAAGACAGTCGAGAATGGGTGACGTATCAAAGAGTTATAGTACTCGTCGATAGCTATATGTGGATATAAAGAACGTAAAAAATGGAGCTCGTATGAGGAAAATACGATTTTTCGAAAATCCCATACTTGCCGCATACACTGCTTGTAGAAGGGTGATGCGGACCATACACATCCCAAAAATACCGTCCAAAAATTTCGTTTCTAATTTATAAATAAAGCCATATTAATCCACATCATCTCATAAAAATATAAATGATAGTATCTCAAAATATCATATCAAAACACTGTATCAAAATCACATGTCCAAATATCAGAGTATATCATCCCAAGCTAAACTCTGTGGTGTGTGTGCAATGCAGTCATCCCGAACTCTTCCTCTTAAAAGCGGAAGTACCTGAGACTAAAACTGAAAACTTTAAGAATGAAGCTTAGTGAGTCTCCCCAAACTACCACATACCATACATATAATCAGGCTACTAAAAGATACGAGCCCCACCCACACCCAAGGATATACGGGCCCCACCCACACTCCGTTAACTAGGAGATACGGGCCCCACCCACACCCCGCTGACTACGAGATACGGGCCTCGCCTACACTCGGCTAACTATGAGATATGGGCCCTGCCCATACTTGGTTAATTGTGAGATACGGGCCCCACCCACACTCGACGATCTATGAGAGGGCCTTGTAACACCGTAAATTTTTAAACCAAAATTTTCATTTTAAAACACACAGAACTTATATGTTATATTTCATAAGACCATAACAAAAGTCAAATCCGAGAATCCTCAACATAATCATGAACAAGTGTTTACAATCACGTCAGCGCCTTCCTGTGACCCTGAGAAGTACCTGAAACACATAACACATAACACGGTAAGCACAAAGCTTAGTGAGTTCTCCAGAATACCACATACAACTCATTAGCCACTGTAGTCCATAACTCAGTAAGACTTTCCGGTTGATGTGTCTCAGTGGGACCCTCCGGTCCCAACTCAGTAACTCAAAACTACAATATTCAACATAAATCACAAAGACAAAACACAGAATATTACAATACACAGATAAACATATAAGACAACTCAATCACATAAGGATACCACTCTTGGTAAGTATCGGGAGAAGACTTACCTCGTAAACTACCAAGTAACAATCGCGTACTCGGAAATCCCAAACTAGCCTCCACCTAACATATTAGATAAGCATCTTTAATCAATACCCCACTCTTACATAAATACATAAAAGTTTCTCTTACTCTCCCTCAAGCTCTTGGAATGGATAAAAACCATTTTAGCCCTCCACGGTCTCCAGTACATATGTTAACCAAACCCTAAAGTCAACTCAAGTCGACAGTCCTAGATTGACCTGACTCGCTAAGTGCGCTTATGTGACTCGTCGAGTCCAGTCGTTACACAGAGGTCTTTGTGAGGGTCTAGCTCATCGAGTTAAACCCTAACTCGCCGAGCAATAGCGTAGACAGATCATCGGGACAAACCCTAACTGACTCGTCGAGTCGGCTCCTCGACACGGCGAGTCCATCCAGACTCTTATCCTATTCAGACGATTTTAAGACACAAAACCTTCCCAAACATTAGATCTACACTCTTAAGGCTCCATTATCATGTAAAGTCACATACTTTACGTCCATGCATGGCGCTTTGGGCTTGAAATGCCAAGAACGTGCTCTAAAAGGGAGTTTTCATTCAAGAATTCAATTAAGGCTAAATAAACCAGGGACCTTTGGATGCTAGGGACCTCACAAAGTCCAGATCTGAAGTCCAAGCCTCCATATCAACTTAATACCCTCAAAGTCCTAATAATACATAGAAAAGAAGCCATAGTCTCCAAATAAATGAGAAAGGTACAAACTTTATACCTTTAACAGGAGCTCTTGGATTAATAACAATAGATCTAACAACCTCCTCTTGCTCTTTGCTTGAAATCCTTCTCTTCTCTTCCAAAGATACAACAAAATACTCAATGTTAGCTCACACACACACACTCTCTCTCTATAAGCTCAAAGGGCGATTAGGGTTTCTCTCAGGGAAGTATATCCGCAAATGAGGCTATAGGTGCCTTTAAATAGGCCCCAAACCCAGGGATCTAATGTTTCCCATCCCAGTGTCTACTCGGCGAGTAGGCTCTCGGACTCGTCGAGTAGGTCATTAATCCTATGCGGCAGATCATGATTCTACTCGACGAGTTGGAGCACCGACTCGTTGAGTAGCTCAATAGTCCTCAAAATAATTAAATAAATAAATAAAGAAAATACTTGGAAGTCCGGATGTTACTGTTCTCCCTCACAAGAATTAGACTTTGCCCTCCAAGTCATGATCTGAAAATAACTCTGGATACTACTCTCGCATCTCGGACTCCGGCTCCCAGGTCAACTCAGATCCTCTCCGATGTTGCCACTGGACCTGAACCAGGGGTACCTCTTTGTTCCTCAGAACCTTCACCTTTTCGATCCATGTTTGTAATCGGTCTCTCAATGTAATTCAGGCTCACATCCACCTCAATGTACTCTAGTGGAACCACTTATGTCTCATCGGCTACATACTTCCTCAGCTAAGACACATGGAAGGTGTTATAAATCTGACTTGACTCTGCAAGTAGCTCCGAAAGGTATGCTACCCTACCCACTCTGGTGGTTATCCTGAAAGGACTGGTGTATCGGGGCCCCAACGTGCCCCTCTTCTTGAATCCATTTCCACGGGGATACCCTCAGGAGCAAAAAATCCATAACCTGAAACTCATGCTCAGATGGTCACTTGTCAGTGTAACTCTTCTGGTGACTCCGGGCCATCAGTAATCTCTGTCTGACCTGCTAAATCTGCTAAGTCATCTTGAGCACTATCTCAGTGCTAACCATTGTCACACCCCAAAACCGGAACGATGGAAACGTTCGGGGGTGGAGGACATCATGTACAATATCATAACAATGCAAAGTAGTAAACAAGCAACAACATCATCCATTGCATTAATAGTATAGTTTAATACATGTGTGTTCTTTCATAGTAATGTGACACCAAAACAAGTATTCAAAATAAAAGACAAATCTTGAACCAGCTTCTTCTTCTCAAGACTTGGCATCGATACCTGTCTATTGACGGCCTGAGAATACAAGGAAATCGTAGATTAGCTTTTAAGCTGGTGAGTTAATAAGTATTTAATGTCAATGTTTGTATAAGTTCGAATGTAAATGTTTGTAAAAGTTCAATCTAAATGTTTGTATATGTTTGAAAACCCCTAGAAAATCCCATATTTCCTACTTGTAAAAAAAGTAGTCTTCTGCCAAGACCCAACTGTTTTGAATGTTTGTTTCTCTATAAAAGTGGATGTTTTTCCCTAGTTTATAACTATCTTAACTCGAAAATAGCTTGCATCAACTTTATAGTTGAACTGCCACTATTTGAAAGTAATTGGGGAAGTAAGTACTCAGGGATCTTCAGAATTGACAACCTGTAGTACTAATTACTTGAAAGCATAATTTTTTTATTTATTAAAGTCATAATGTGATAAGTAGTTCCCATACTAAGCATTCTCCCTACAAGAGATTTTGGGATCAAGAATGACTCCCGCAACGAATTGCTAGGTCGTATAATCTACATTAAAGTTATATAATCATGTATACCCAATTTATATTGGATTATTAAGGTCATAATGTGATAAGTAGTTCCCATACTAGACGTTCTCCTTACAAGAGATTATGGGGATCAAGAGTGACTTCCGCAACGAATTGCTAGGCCGTATAATCCACAATAAAGTTATATAATCATGTATACCAAATTTATATCACCTTTTTGTTTAGAACAATGCTTTAGTGATCATTAGTATTGTAACAACCCAATTTTTCACGCCAAAAAATTTCATTTAAAATAAGTGGTTTGTAAAATATTTTTAGCAAAACATCATCCGATCATATCATTTCATAAAACATATTACGTGTCTGAAAACCCAAAACAAGAAAATAATAATAATATCAGAGTACAATCCCAAAACATTTCATAATGCGGAAATCCAAAGTGTGTGTACGATGTGCCACTACCGTGCCGGATCCTTTCCCTTCGCTGAAGAGCTATGTGAAACCAAAACTGAAAACTGTAAGCATGAAGCTTAGTGAGTCCCCCCATCGTACCACATACCAGACAATCATATCACATACAAACTGCCAGGCATTTCTAGGGTGCCCGACCTACTCGGTACGGCCATTCTGGGGTGCCGACCA